ATTTTTTTTTTTAAAGATTTTATTTATTTATTTGACAGAGAGAGAGATAGCGAGAGAGGGAACACTAGCAGGGGGAGTGGAAGAGGGAGAAGCAGGCTTCCTGCAGAACAGGGAGCCCGATGTGGGACTCGATCCCGGGACTCCAGGATCATGACCTGAGCCGAAGGCAGACGCTTGACAACTGAGCCACCCAGGCCCCCTTATATATTATATTTTATACAGTTGAATCATAGGGTATATATACTTGCTATATGTATTACTTTTTTTTTTTTTTTTTAACGTCTTACTTTGGAATGATTTTAGATTTAGAGAGAAGTTGCAGAGATAGTACAGAGTTCCCATATACCTCGTGTCTAGTTCTCCCTCCATTGTGAACATTTTATATTATTACGGCAGATTTGTTAGAACCAAGAAACCAACATTGGTACGTTACCATTAACTAAACTCTGGACTCTATTTTGATTTCACCAGTTTTTCCATTAATGTCCTCCTCCAGCCCAGTGTCCCACATTGTGTTTAATTGTCATGTATGCCTAGGCTCTGGTCTGTGGCAGTTTCACACTGTGAAAGTGTGAGACTCTCCCTATTTCTCATGACCATGACAATTTGAGAAGTATGGGTCAGATTCTTGACAGAATATTACTCAATTTGAGTTTATCTGATGTTTTTCTCATGACTGATGTTCTGGGTTTTGGAGGAAGAATAGCACAAAGGTGGAGTGCCCTCCTCATCACATCATGTCAAGGGTACCTGCATTAATAGAACTTAGCACTGATGTTGCTAACCTTCATCTCCTGGCCAGCCCAGTGTTTGCCAGGTTTGTCCACTAGAGTCTTGTTTTTCTCCCCCCTTCCATACTCTGTTATTTGGAGACAAGTTACCAAGTCCAGCCCATACTCAAGGGGATGGGGATGGAATTAAGCTCTACTTCTTGCAGTGGGGGGAGTATTTACATATATAAGGAATATTCATCTCTTCTCCCCTATATATTTAATACAGTAGTTTATTTGTATCACTATGGACTCATATGTTTATTTTATACTCGGGGTTATAATCCAATTCTGTGTTATTTGGTAGCTGAAATTGTTCCAGCTTTAGTTGGAGCTCTTTCAGCTTGGCTCTTGTGTTCCTTTGATATGCTCCCATCCTTTGGTTTTTGAGCACTTCCTTGCTCTCTGGCTCTCTAAGATGCTATGGGTTCATCTTGTATTTTCCCTGCCCCAGTCCTTGAATCGGCCCTTTCTCCAAGCAACTCTGATTCCTTTTATTGGGGAGTGGTATTTAGAAGCCAAGATCTGGACGTGGTGTGCTCACTGCTCCTGGAGTGTCATTGCTTCTAGGCCCTGTCAGAGGGCTAGGAACTACATGTCTGTATACATGAGCTACGGAGCTAGGAACTACATGTAGGTATACTAACGCATGTTAGTAATTCCTGTGAATCTTTGTTTCTGTGTCTCCATTTGTATCTATGTTAAGCAAAACATGAGCTCATACTGATGTCTTTGACAAATCTGTTATTACAGAGGCCATTCTAGCCTTTTCTCCTTGCTTCTCTGTTATTTCCTTCTCAGCGTGAGAAGCCTGGTTCCCACCATCCACCATCTATTTGCTTATTTGATTGCACTATTTGTGTAAGTGGTTTCAGATTTGTTAAGCTGTCTCCCCATTCAAAACAACTTTATCAACTAAAGTACAGTGTTTATGTGCAATTATTTTTGTCTTTTTGCCTTTAGTTTCCAGTCAAAATGCTGTTTTCCAGAGTTATTTGTAAGCTGCTCTATTTTTTACCGCATGCCTTTGAGAGATGTCATGCCATGCACTTAGATTTTTTTTTGTTTACGTTCCATCCTGTTGTATTATTACAGTTGTTAATTCCCCTAGTTGATTGTATGACTCTTTAAAGTGACAGTGTGATAAACTTTCATCTTACCATATTATTTTCATATTTATTGTTTTGACTGGCCGCTTTGAGTTGGTAGATAATATGCCACAATTAATACGAAACCTCCCTTTCAGAATATAAGTTGTTTACAGTTTTCAACATTATGAATCCCCAACAAGAAATTTTCTTTATGAACCACATTCTGTTTTCCTTTCGAAGTAAGTTTTTTACAATAATTCTCAGAAATGGAGTCACTGAGCCAAAAGATAGAAACATTTGGTAAATCTTTCAGAGGCCAATTGCTCTCTAAAAATAATTGCACTAGTTTAAAATGCTACCTGATACATACAGGTTTTCCAAACCCTTCCTGGGATTTTACAACTTAAAAAAAATAGCAACCTTTTGACAATTTTTAAATAAGTATAAGATGCTATTTCATTATGATTATAATATTCACTTCTTAATCTGTTAGCAAGGTTATACACTGTGCCCCATCTTTATTTATACTCTTTATGTTTTTGAGAACTGTATTGTAAAGCACATTGTGAGCTATGTCAAAAAGAGGAAGATTGTGAACTCTGCTGGAACAAAAGTCTGGATTCTCCTTGGCAACGTCTTGCCATTTTGGAACTATTTTAAGTTTAGAGAAAATAGAGTATGGTGTTACCAAGTTTCCTTTTGGTTCAGATTAAGTTTTTCTTTTCCTTTAGACTCTGCTGTGTCAGAAAATGGAAATAATAGTGGTAGTCCCAAGTTCACTTACTACCAGTTACTCCTTGTTTGAAAAGAAGTTTAATTTCATTTTCTTTTGGAAGCAACATCATGTGCTCAATAAAAATATGTGCTCTTTGGGGATCGTTTATCTGGTTGATCTGCAGTAAGTGGCGTAGCCTTTTGTACTTAGTAGGTACCAAGTGAGTGTTGGAGATGGAGTAAAACCAGGCGGTTGGGGACCCAGACTGCTGGAGGGGAGCCCTAGCTGTCCTGCGTACTAGCTGTGGGACTTATTGAGCAAGTCACCTAGCTGTGCCCATTTCCTCATCTGTAAGAGGGAGCTAACGGTACCTATCTTCTTGGGCCATTGTGACGATTAAATGAGCTAGCATGACTGAAGCAGTTAGAATAATGCCTGGCACATGTTAAGCATCGTATGTGTTAACTTTTTGGTTGTTGAATTCAGTTGAATTCAACCCAGATCTTGAAGATCAGAGATATTCAGCAGGGTTCTTTCCTAGGCTTCTTTGGTTTTTGAAAACCCATAGAAAACCCTCAGCTGTCCAGAGGTCTCTTACCTCATTGACAGAGATGGCACAAAGCCCACAGTCAATATTCTGACATTTATGTATTGAGAGCACCTCAGACTCTCCAGTCAGAGTTCACTCTGACTTTATGCATAATGCTAAGCTGAAGGATTGGTTTTTGTTTTTTTTTTTTTTTTAAGTCTGCTCGTATTATATTAGAAGTAGCCAACAGGAAGATGAGCTTGCTTCAGGAATAGTGACAGACACAGGTAGCAAGAAGGGATATGAGGATGTAGGCTGACATCCAGGACCAAGAAACTACATTTCCGCAAGAATTCCAAAGGCACTGTACTCTGGGGTCAGTTGCTACAACCCTTGGGCCTGGGTTCATCTCTCAGCTCTGTCACTTACTAGATTTAGGGGACCCTAGCCCAGTTACTTAACCCTGGTAAGCTTCATTTTCATTGTTGCTAAAGTGAAGATAATACTATCTTTTTCATATGGCTGTTTACTTAGTGCCTGGCACATGGTGGGTACTTCAAAAGTGGTAGCTGTTTTGTTTTTTAATTATGTTGATTTATTTAGAATAGGGTCAGTCTGCTTCTGTGTATTTTTGACGCTCCCGAAGGCATCACTATCACCATATTATGGCCTAGTGTAATGGTTGATACTCTTAGTAATGACATTGTGTTATCAAGATGCTAAATTCAGAATCCTTTCTTTAAGTGGTCAGGGAATTGCACATTATGAGCTATGTTATTAAAGTAGTGGCAAACTTAAATCACGTATTTTTTTGGGTCAATGTTATGTATTTGAGAGATCCTCATTTTAAAACATTTTAAAAACAAACAAACAAAATTCTGAAACGTAATGGAATAAACTTAATTTATCTCCTGGGCGCCTGGGTGGCTCAGTTGGTTAGGCGACTGCCTTCGGCTCAGGTCATGATCCTGGAATCCCAGGATCGAGTCCCGCATCGGGCTCCTTGCTCAGCAGGGGGTCTGCTTCTCCCTCTGACCCTCCCCCCTCTCATGTGCTTTCTCTCATTCTCTCTCTCAAATAAATAAATAAAATCTTTAAAAAAAAACAAAAAAACTTAATTTATCTCCAGTTATTTAGGTAGGTGGCACATTTCATTCCCATACAGAAGTGCTGCTTTAATCCCATGCCTAGCTGGAGCCAGTACTGAGGTGATTCCCACTTGTTCGGCCTTTGAAATATTTTTGTTCTTTTGGAATGGCTTTGCTTTTTCAGCTTTGACTTTGTTACAGTATCTGTACAGAAAATGAGTCAATATTATTTTTCCCTTAGGGTGGGTGGTTATATCGAACACACCAAGAGTGGGGTTCCTAATTAAGGCTGATGGATGACCTACCTCAAACGATGTTTGAGACTCAAGACCATAAGATATCTCTTTGAAAGGAAGATCATAGGGACCTCAGCAAAGAAGACTTCCAATTATCAGAAATAGGCACCATTTCCCCACAAGGTTTCCAGAAGTAAGGATGAAGAGAAGAAAGTGACAAGAAAGAGGAGAAAGTTCCTGAGACATAATTACAGTTAGTACTTTAGTGGTTTTCTTTTATACCCTTTTCACCCACTTATTAAGTATTAATATTTTCCATATTACTTGTACTGCCGTCTCTCAAACATTCCCATAATAGACTTCATTTTTCAGTGTTCTGAAATACAGTGAAGAGCCTCTGCTTTTAATAAAGTTGTGCCTAGTAAGGCAGTAAAGCCCTATAAGTGCTCCAGTATTGATCAGTGACAAGGTAGTGGACCATCTGGTTTATTTTTATGTTCCAGGGGGAGAAGATAGAAGACATACCAAAGGAAGTCCTGATGGACTGTGCCCATCTTGTGAAGGCCAATAGCATTCAAGGTCAGTTCTCTTAGAGGTGTTTTCAGAATTAACACCAATATCTGTATCTGAAATTGAATACATTTTAGAGAACATGTCAGTGACTTGGGCTTGAGTCAAATGAATAATATGTAATATACCTTTCCCGTTTTGTTCTGCTACCTGTCCGAGAACTGAAAGCTAATCTCTCCACCCCTCTCATGTTCGTGGTCCTTTCTCAGCTCTTTCTACTGTGTTCCCCTTACCTTGACTAGAAGCTTGTCTAAACCTGTCTACCCTTGATGTTATTCATAGAAAGGCTTTTGGGGGTGCCTGGGTGGCTTAGTCAAACTGATTCTTGCTTTCGGCTCAGGTCCTGATTTCATGGCTCATGAGATCGAGCCCCTCGTGGGGCTCCACACCCAGCGGGAGTCTGCTTGGATATTCTCTCCCTCTGCCCTTCCCCCAACACGTGTGCACGCGCTCTCTCTCTCAAATAAATCTTCAAAAAAAGGTGGGGGGCTTTTGGAAATGAGGTTAGGTTAATAGCTAAGCAAGAGATGTATGTCATGGCTTTATTTTTAATGCTGTCTTTCTTTCCATCATTTGTTCTTAAATTCTAGAACTCAAGTCTCTATATCCCTGTTTCTTACTTTTTTTTTCTCTCCTTCTCCTCTTTCATACTTTATTCTCCCTGTATATTGTGAAGGTATCGAGTCTGTTGATCTTCTTATCTCCCAAAGAATCTCATTTAGTTGGTCTGGGGTGATCCATGAGTATCTGTATTTTTCCAGTGTTCTCCAGGAGATTGTAATATGTACAGAGGGTTGGTTGAGAACAATTGTCCTGTTTTAGGGGAGGCCTGTAATTCTGGGCTTGGTGCTTGTTTAGTTCTGTCAGTAGTAGATTTTTTTTTTTTTAAGAATTTTATTTGTTTGACAGAGACAGAGCAGGAGAGCACAAGCAGGGGGAGCAGCAGAGGGAGAGGGAGAAGCAGGCTTCCCACTGAGATAGGAGCCCAATGTGGGGCTCCATCCCATGACCCCGGGATCATGACCTGAGCCAAAGGCAGTCGTTTAAACAACTGAGCCACCCAGGCACCCCTGTCAGTAGTAGATTTAATTGGTCAGTAGTCAGTACAGGTCAAGAAAGACAATTTTGGGGGAGGAAGTGGGAGTTAAAAAGGGGAGCCAGGAGATGGTGTTCTGCTAAGAATGGTTGAGCTAGTAGGTTGGATTTTGGGGTGTAGGACACAGAGCTAGAGTGGAGGTAAGTTTGGTTTGATGTGAGGTTGAGAGATTATCCAGAGGGTTGGAAAGAAATATGGTTTGGATAGAGGGCAGACACTTAGCTGATAGTAGGTACCAGGGTTGGAGATTACAGGATAAGAGTTGGCCAGTGTACCCCTTCCTCATCACTTAGACTAAGTTGGACAGCTTTACTGAGTCAGATACCTAGCCAAAGAAAGTAGAAGTCTGGTCGTGTAGAGTCACTGGTTTTCAACACCGTAAATCATTAAATTGCAGTTAGTCTTTTAGGACATTCCATTTTTATGAGCAGAACAGTTTTTAAGATTTCCAGTCACGAGCTTCAGTTATTAAAGTAAAAATAATAAAATTAAAACAATCATTATTCTCTTGTGTGTTGCAACCTCTTTCACATGATCTTGTTCCCTTTCCATGCCCCTGGCTAGCAGATGTGACTTTATTAAAGGGTCTTTGGACTCTTTATTCTGGGCCTGGCCTCTTTATTCTTAATCTCTTTATAGTTTACTAGTTCTAGAGAAAACAGAAAAGGCAGAAGAGTCATGACACTGCCCTCCTCTGCTCTCCACTTCAGCCTTCCACAGTGAGAGCTCACTTAGCAGAATAAGGAGCTAAGCCCAGGAGCCTCACTCATGAGTTGACAGCAGAGGATGCTGAGGATGCTCCGTTTGCGTTGCTGTGCAGTTAAAATATTTCCCCCCCCCTGCTAGACTGCCTTTGGCTCTCAGAACCAAGGAAATTGGGTTAAACTTGTTTGTCATCGTATAATCTGGTCAGTCAGTTTATTCATAGAATCTTTTGCCAGATTAAACTTTCTAAAGTCTTAGATACTTTCTATGATACGCCTCACCTTAATTATACATATAAGTCCAGACTTCTTAAGCTAGAAGCTAAGCATCTCTGCTCTGACTACAGGCTTTTTTCCCTTCACATATTTCACCCTCCAGCCAAAGCACGTATTGGCTGTTTTCCTATCATATATCTCTGCTTATGTTGTCTCCTCTGTCCTCAGTTTTGTCTGCCTTTCAGTCGTCCCGTGTCTAGATGCAAGCTAAGGTTCAGGGTCCACCCAGTAGTTGTAGTAATGGTAGTAATAGCTAACCTTGAACATTAATTACATGCCTGGCACTACATGCTAAAACTTCACCGATTATTTCACTTATCAACCCTCCTGAGATTTGTGTTATTATTTTCATTCTAGAGATGAGTGAGCTGAGCTTAAGGGAGTTAAGGAACCTGCCCAAGGTCTCAGAGCTCTGAAGTGTGGTGGTGGGTGCATTTGAAGTCAGTCTGACCTGAAAGTCTTCTGTCTTAACCACTAAACTGTATTAACCTCTCTGATGGAGCCTTTCCCTTCTTCCAGCGTGGGTGACCACTGCCCTCTCGGAGCAGCATTAGGACTTTACCTGTACCTTTCCAATAGCATTTGATGAGTTCTGCTTTTCTTTCTTTCTTTTTTTTTTCCTAAAGATTATATTTATTTATTTGAGAGAGAGCAAGAGCTGGGGGGAGGGGGCGGGGAGGGCAGAGAGAAAGAAGCATACTCCCTGCTGAGCAAGAAGTCTGATACGAGGCTCGATCCCAGGACCCTGAGATCGTGACCTGAGCCGAAGGCAGACGCTTAACCGACTGAGCCACCCGGGTGTTCTGAAGAAGTCTGCTTTTCATTGAGGTTATTTATGTACTTATCTGCTTTCCTTTAGTCTTGGAAGACAAGACCCATTATCTGATCCATGTTTGGATCTCCTGTAGCACCACACACGTGGAGATTTTTTTAAATCTTAATTTTGAAAAAAAAAATTTCAAACCTACAGAAACGTTGCTAGAAAAATACAACTCCTGTATGCCCTTCACTTAGATTCAATAATTTTTCCATATGTATTTGCTTTCTCTCTATAATGTTCTAATTCCATTTTTTAGCTGAATCATTCGAAGGAAAATTATAGATCTCGTAACTCTTTAGCATGTCCTAAGAACAAGGACATTGTCTAAGTAACTGCATTACTGTGACCAGATTCAGGAAGTTTAACATGGCTAGAATACTGTCATTTGATATATAGTTCATATGTAAGTTTTTCCAGTTGTCCCACTACTATCCCTTTATAGCATTTCTTTTTCTCTCTCTCTTTTTTAAAGATTTTATTTATTTATTTGAGAGAGAGAGAATGCACAAGCAGGGGGAGCTACAGGCAGAGGGAGAAGCAGGCTCCCTGCAGAGCATGGGGAGCCCAATGTGGGATTTGATCCCAGGACCCTGGGATCATGACCTGAGCTGAGGGCAGAAGCTTAACTGCCTGAGCCACCCAGGCGCCCTAGCATTTCTTTTTCTGATCCAAGATCATATGTTATAGTTACTCATCATGTCTCTGATCTCTTTTAATCTAAAGATACTTCTTTGTCTTTCAAGACATTGACACTTTGAATGGAGACCAGTTGTAGGATATCCTGTGATTTGGGTTGGTCTGATGCTTCCACTTGAGTAGGATCACATGCATTTTCAGTCAGGAATAACATATAAGTGAAGTCTTGTGTGTTACAATCAGGAGTCACATGGTGCCATTTTGCTCCATTTTTGATGATGTTAATTTTGATCACTTAAGCAGTTATTCACCAGTTTTCTCCAATGTATGTGGTGATTTAATAAACTATATAATATACTGAAAAGGGCCTTAAAGAGTGTTGGGCCAGTGATTAAACTGGGATTCTTCAAGCTGCCTGAGAAGCGGTCCAGGGCAGAGGGGAAATGTGAGGTGGAGGTGGTAGGAGGAATGAGTGGGGTATGGGGTACCCGGCACCCCTTTCATCTAGAGCATCTCTGCTTTTATTACTTTGATATGTTTTCTTTGGTAAAAGAGGTACTACCACTGTGAAAAGAAACAAACAAACAAAAAATTCTACTAGTCCGATCTCTTCCTGTTTCAAATGAGATTCCGGGAGCCCTGGGCACGTTCCCTAAGTGACACAGCTGGTTTGTGTTGGTTCCAGGGTCTCGTGCTGGTCTCTTGAATCCCAGACCATGGCTTTTTGCTTTATCTCGGTGTTTAGCCTTTACTGAATCAACGATTCCATTGGGAATCTGAGGGAAACCTGTTTGGTCCATTTCTCTTTTTAAAAAATGTGTATCATAAATTTTGTTTTCAGTATTTGGGAGTCTCAGAAGTCCCTGAAGCTAATCCACAGACCCCTGCTTTCCTTCATAACACTATTGCTTGAATTGTGTTGGTCACCTTTACCATTTGCCTTTCGTGGGTGGGTTCAAAAAAAAAAAAAGTATTTGGTGGTTTGAATCCCTCAGTGGCTGTTTGCACTCAGCCTTTCCGTTTGTTGGATTTTGGTAATTGGCCAGTGGGTGAGGGAACTCAGTATGCTCCGGCCCTCATGTTGAAGACAGTCTCTCTTGGCAGGCTGCAAGATGAACAACGTTAATGTGGTATATACACCGTGGTCTAACCTGAAGAAAACAGCCGACATGGATGTGGGACAGATAGGCTTTCACAGGCAGAAGGATGTAAGTGTTGTGCGCCGCGGTGGGAGGTGCCATGGAGCCCCGGGCTTTTCCGTCTCCTGCCTTCATTGTTGAAGGCTCAGCATGACGTATGCCTTCTAAATCCCTTTTCAGCTGGGTTGTTTGGCCCCTAGAAAGCGTTGCCTCTGTTTTGGGGGGGAAAACCTACAATAAAGATTCAGTATTGTTCCCTCCCATCTCCCTCAAAGGTGAAAATTGTGACCGTGGAGAAGAAAGTGAATGAGATCCTGAACCGATTAGAAAAGACCAAAATGGAGCGGTTCCCAGACCTCGCGGCAGAGAAGGAATGCAGAGACCGAGAAGAGAGGAATGAGAAAAAAGCCCAAATTCAGGAAATGAAAAGGAGAGAGAAGGAAGAGATGAAGAAGAAGCGGGAAATGGACGAACTTAGGTATGTCGGAGCTGTGGTGTTGGTGTTGACCTTGGAGATTCCTCGCTGCTGATTTTCATCAGGGACCAACCCGTAGGAAGGATATACTGGTGGAGGGCAGGACAGAGAACAGACTTGGGGCCTGAGACGGTCTAGGAAAAGGCAGTTATGCTGAGGCGTTGGTCAAATGACGCCCTTTTATAGGGACGGGATATGAGTGTGTGTGAAATAAAAGAGCTAATTTTATTCTTAGATAAACCGTCATCTTTAGAGTTCGGTTTGTAAACATCTTCAGGAAAAGACAAGATGTTATATTAAGGATTTAACATTGACTCGCTGTGGTACTTGAATAAGGTGGTCTTAGCTCTGAAGGCCTATGCTAGTAATTCTTTTTTTTTTTTTTTTTAAGATTTTATTTGTTTATTTGAGAGCGAGAGCACGAGCAGGGGTGGGGGGTGTAGGGGGAGTTGAGAGGCAGAGGGGAGAGGGAGAAGCAGACCCCCAGCTGAGCAGGGAACCTGATGTAGGGCTCAGTCACTGGACCCTGGGATCTATGACCTGTGCCGAAGGCAAACACTTAACCCAGGTGCCCCAATGCTAGTAATTCTTAAAATTTGTTTTTTAAAAGAAAAAATTTTTTTCGTAAGTTAGAAGTGATTAATGTAATGAGGCCTACCCCAAAGCACTACACTTTAAAATGATAAATAGTAGGGGGTGCCTAGCTGGCTCAGTCAGTAGAGCATGTGACTCGATCTTGGGGTTGTGAGTTCAATCCCCATGTTGGGTGTGGAATGTACTTAATAAAATAAGATATAAAATCTTTAAAAAATAAACAAAAATAAGTAAGTAAAATGATAAATAGTAGTTAAAATACAACTTGAGTCCTGAATTTCTAGTGTATGACAATCCAGACTGAGTTTTCTGTGGCTCCTGTAACAAATTATCAAAGATTTAGTGGCTTCAAACAACATAGATTTCTTACCTTACAGTTCCATCCATTCATATGTTAGAAGTCCAGTGTGGTTCTCAGTGGGCTAATATCAAGGTGTCAGCTGGGCTGTGTTCCTTTCTGGAGCTCTAGGGGAGAATCTGTTTCCTTTTCCAGCTCCTAGAGGCCACCCACATTCCTTGGCTTGTGGCCCCTTCCTCCATCTTCAGAGCTGGCCACATGGCACCTCTGAGACCCTCCCTCCAGAGTCGCAGCCCCATCTCTGACCACAGCCTTCTGTACTGTTGAGGACCAGTGCAGTGACATTGGGCCCACCCAGACAATCCATAACCTCTCCATCTAAGATCCTTAACCCAACCACATCTGCAAAGCCCCTTGTGCCAGATGAGGTGACATATTTGCAGGTTCTGGGGATTGGGATGTGGACATCTATGGTTGGGATCATTAGTCTGCCCACCACACTGAATCTGTAGTAGATGTATAGTTTATACCTAAAAAGACTCCTGGGTTTTCTTTGTCAAAGAGGGAATTTAATCCTGCAACTTCTACTTACAGGATTTCTAGATTTTCCCACAGTTCTCCATAGATATCATTTGTGTTAAGCATACCAAAAAGAAGGGGGGGAAGAAAAGGCATTGCTGTGCCTTTGGGAGTGGCACAGGATCAAAATGAGGTGTCTTGCCATGTCCTGACTTGGTTTCCTTGGAATACACTGGGTGATTAGAAAGGTTGTTGGGTCAGAACGTAGGTATAATGATCAAGTACTGGTATTTCTTAGTTATCCGCATGCACGTGCTCCTTTGGGGGTTCTGCTGAAATGGGATAAGTGGCTGCATTTAAAATATATTCAGATGGAGAGCTCCGGAAGTGTTATCCTGAGTTATAATCTGCTGACACGAAACAAACGAATGCCCAGATTTGGTTTGACCTAGTGTGAGTCTGCTTTGTGTTGTGAGTGAAAGAAAAATTATCAGCTCGATCAGCGCAGTAAACTGTGTGGAATTTTGAGCAATGTAGGATTGAGAGTAGCTTATTCATTTTTGTTTTTCGTGTGGAATGGGGAAAAGAGTGAAAACATACCTTCTTGTGCCTTCTACAGATCTAACAATTTTGTTCAGAAACATAATATGTTAGGAATATAATATCACTTAATTTACTTAATTAAAAACTTAACAAGAAAGAATAGCTAACATTTTTGGGCACTTGTCATCTGCCAAACCCTGTACTATATTTAGCTCCATTATTTCATTTGATCCTAATAGCCAATATGACGGCAAATACTGTTATTACCTGCATTTTCTAGAAGAGGAAACAGCCTGACAAGCAGTTAAGTAACTTGCCCAAAGTCACAGAGCTAGTCTTGTCTGATTCTCAAGCTCACAACACGCTATAGTTACCACTCTTTTCTGCCTCTGTTCAGTCTATTCAGCGTTAAAGTAAAATTTATTCCATATGAATCAAGTAATTTATAGATACGGGAATTTATCTTAAAATGCATTTCATTTTTGCTTCAAATCAAGCTGTGTACTAGTAAAATTTAGGGGATTTTGTATATTTGATTTTATTAGTTTAAACTAAAACACAATGTGCTTATCTCCCAGATTTTCTTTTATAGTATCAACAACACATAAAATATTTAAATAAGTTGAGGGGGGAAAAAAATTCTCATTGTTATTGAGTGAAATTTTTGCCTCAAAAGCACATTTATCTGATCAGTCCCATTTTCTAAGCTGTCCCTCGTCACTTGTAATTTTTCCATTTGTTTTCTCAGACACAAATTTTTGTCCTATATCATTCTGGCCCATAAATACCAAAAGGAAAATGTAAGTGGAATAAATGGGAAAATCACTTTTCTAGTTCGTGTTTTTCTACACAGTTTTTCCCTGATGCTTTCTTTTTAATAAATGATTGTGGCTCTCAGAAAACCAGAAACAGCTGATGCGTTCATTTCTGTGAAACCTGTGCCACGGCAATGATTTGCTTTCCCAAGCTGCTGAAGCTGGGAGGGTGAGAGGCAAGGCTGCAGCGTGGGGAAGCCACGCAGCAACAGACCAGGGACCTGCCGGCTTGCGTGCCGGCTCCTGCAGCTTCTGTGAAGTTCCAGCCACAAGCTCTAAGCTTCTGACCCGTTTTAAAATCTCTTTTTATACCTTGGTAGTGCTCTATACATCACCTTAGTTTCTGTCTTTGACTCTTCCACCCAAGAGATCAAATGCTGGGCCTACAGAATCTTCTCATTCTCAAGTCTTTCACTTGGTTTTCTGACAATGACAATTTCATTAGCTTTCACCAGCAGCTGGTTCTTTTATTTGGACCATCTGGTAGGGGATGTCCACTTTAGTTGCTGCGAATGCCTAAGAAACCGACTTTTGGGTCTGAAGGGGATTCTGCAGAGAAACCAAGAGATATTCTTATCCCGGAAGTTAACCCCAATGCTTCCAGATGATTTCAGCAAAGAAATACTCAACAGCCTCGTATCCGGAGATCTCCAACTTCCCTCCAATTCTAAAACCATTATTTAGATTCTTGTCCCCTTTCTCTTCTCAACTTGTTGAACAAGAATGGCAATAAGCCTCTCATTTCTAATGTCTACTGGGAGAAGAAATGGATGGAATTGCCGTTATACAGCCCCAAGTTCTCCGAGCTCTAGTCAGGATCCTCTGTCGGCCCTCAGCTCAGCGGTGAACAAAGCCCAGCCCGCCCTGTGGAAGGCACGACTTCTGCTCCAAGGCGAGGAATGATAGCCCCTGGAGACAGAACTCCATCTTGTTCTTGCCGATGAGCCTTTACTCCTTGACCTCAGCATGCAGAAACTGTGATGATCTGATAATGTAAATAGGTCTACGTAAAGAACATCCTCTTAGACAGGTTTTAGAAATATTTGGGTTGTTGAGAGGGCAGTATATTAATATCATCTGTTCACAATTTATTTTCTTCATCTAAACCATTGGGAAAAATTTCCCCTTCCTTAGACTTTGCATATTCTCACTTACCCATCTTACTCGTTAGCTCCTTAGACACATGCCCTGTGAGCCTAGGAGCTCATGGGGTTTGGAGTGTAGGGAAGAAGCCTCCTCACACGTTCCTTCCTCTCTGTGACTGCTACACTGCAAGCCATACATTAAGATGAGGTAATAGCAGAGATTCAACACAGGTTTTTAGAGTAGTCGGTGTCTTAGACGTGATCTTGAGAGTGAGAAGCAGAACAGCTTCTCCTCAGTCTACATTTGGTTTGAGAGAGCAGGCATTTGGAGAAATCCTTTAGACAGGTTACCGGTGAGTCTCCCAGTGGACACCATCATTTATTGGCAGGTGCTAGGGAAGAGCATCCCTGGCTCCCTTCAGTGTGTCCTGGCTGCATCGTTTCATCTCTGTAGTGGAATGCATGGTCGCATCCAAATGAAAGCTCACCTGCTCTGTTTCAGTCTTGTATTCACTTATTTGGGCTTTGTGGTATTATAACAAACATCAACATCAAAATCAAGCTCCACCATGTGGATATTAAAACCAGAAGAAACAATAGAAAAAGGTAGTTAATAGAGGATAAGTTAGTAACAGATCAGAAAAGAAAAAGGTAGGGACTGTGGCTACCTGAGATAGAGATATTTAAAAATTGGGAGTCTGGGAGGTCGAAATTTGAAACCAAGGCTCAGGTGATTGAAGTCAGACAAGTACAAGGCCCAGGTAAAATGGCAAGTCACAGGTGAATGGATCATCAGTTTGGACAAGTAACCTGAGCTGGATTTGGGGACAAAGATGACTTTAGCAAGATGATTAATGTGTGGGGGGCGCCTGGGTGGCTCAGTCGTTAAGCGTCTGCCTTCGGCTCAGGTCATGATCCCAGGGTCCTGGGATCGAGCCCC